TAATGGGGAAATTACCAAGAACATAAAAAATTTGTTCACGTTTAAAGAAATTCTTGTTAACGAGATTCGAATGTATTTACTACTGTCCTGAGTAATGAGTTTCATATGTATTTTGGTACCGAAATATTGATTCTTTTTACTGTTAAATTTGTATGATATAAGTGTACACGGAAACTTAAATGGAATGTTATTTCTGTGAGATAGTGCTGCAATCCTTTCGATTGTGACAACTGCTATTAATTTTGTTTTAGACCTTTTGACTTCAAATTTTTCGTCCTATTTGTTTTTCTTTTAAATTTAATCTTTTTTTTTTCCCTTTTGATAAATGGAAAACGAATTATATAAATAAATTGCTATTAAATTTTTTCCTAATCAGCCGGCGATATTGTGTATAGCTGTTCTTGTTTTACAGCTTCTATTAACAGTATGCTATTTCTGTTGTTTTCATAAAATCTTAGAACGGCAATACAAAATGGCTGATAAGGTATCGAAATTCGTTATGGTTGATAGTCTAAACCAGTGTTTCCCAAAGTGTGGCACGCGTACCCCCAGGGGTACGGGAACAGTTTAGCGGGGGTACGCGTTCTTATGCGAAATATCTTGCAACAAACGAAATATTCAAAAAATTTTATTTGAAAACAAAGCTAGCCATGAAAATTTACGACTACGTTTTTTTCTTTTAGCTATTTTTTGCAGAATTAATAATTAATGGTGTCAACAGCCAGTTGTGATTTTTAACTTTGGTGCAATTTTTTTATTGTAAAGGTTTGTAATAAACTCTACTTATTTTGATTATTTTTATAAAATATAATTTTTATCCATATAATTTATTACAGCAAAAACAATATCATCTTTCTCACTGATGCAAATAAAAACTTATGAACAAAACTTTGTACCAAAAAGAAAAATAAACATATTTTTAAAAAAAAAATACATTCATTTTTTTTATTAGTGGTACACAGCATTTCGAAAAATTTAGAAAGGGTACGCAAAAGTCATAAGTTTGGGAAACACTGGTCTAAACCATAGAACATTATTACATTACATTATTGTATTGTATAGGATTCTAATAATGTACTGTACTGCCTTGCAATTAAAAAAATTAACGTAAGTGCTTCATGATAGATTTTGAGGAAGTGGTGGAACTTTCTAGATGAAGGGTGGAGAAGTGGAACTTTCTAGATGGTGGTTCGCGGAATCCTAGGATTCCGTGTAAGAGTGAAAGGGATTTCGCGAATTAGTACTTTTAGTTTTGAAACCTCTGATTACAATTAAATGTAACTTATAATTCATAGTTTATTTAATCTTTCGGTTGCTTTTATGAAATTATTCCAAGTAAAAGGCCATTGAAATGGAAAGAAAATAGAATATTTCTAATAACAGTATACTGAACAAATTATGAAAGAACAAGCATTCATAAAATATTTCACTAGTATTTCCTATCGTACTTTTCAAAACAAAATAATATAATTCTTTAATGAAGTAGCATGTTTCCGTAAAAACAAACTTCAACGTTTATACCAATTCTTTAAAGTTATCCTTTCGAAGTAAGCCATAATTTAGCTTATTTTTAATCCTTTTCAGCTTATGTGTATGCACTAGAAACTAATTCATACCTAGATTAAATATAGCACAAGGATTGCAAATTTAATTGCCGAACATAAAACCTAATTTTAGATTATTAATAATTAGAATCTTAATTCCTTTCATTAAATATTTTAAATATAGTCTTTTATAGGTTATAATGATCACAATTACCTTAAATTATAATTATTAAGTAGAGGCTCCACCGAAAGAATGTTGATTGTTTAGGATTCGGTAGCCCAAAAAAATTGAAAACCACTGGGCTAGACAACTATTTTCTTTCGATTGCTAATGCGATGAAAGCTAAAATATAATTTAGAAAAACTGAAAACAAAGTTTATTATATAAATTTTTTTTTAAGTATAAAAGTGCTAAATGTATAAAAATTTCAATTTTAAATTTTTTGTCATTTACGTTGATTTTTCTAATGCACGGCAGTATACGATAATCAATAAATAGTTTCTATATACATATTGGGTTTTCAAGAATTATGATAAACTTTTAAGAGTTAACTGTGTCTTGCTGATAAAGTCTCACTTTTGTTGAAAAATACTTATTAAAACGACTTATTAAAATTTAAGATCGCGCAATTGGCTAATCGAGAATTTTTTTTCCGCGATTTATTTGTTAACTTTTGTTGATCACATATTTAAAAACTTAAAACGGCTTTTTTGTTTTTGAGTTGCTCTTTGGACAATGCAAGTGCCATTACATTCACAGTTTCTCTTAAAAAATGTTAAATCTAGCTTCTTTTTTTTAAAAAAAAAATTACAAAATATTGTAATAAAATAATTGTTTATCAAAAAAGTATATCTATATGTAAGGTTATTTTATTTATTTTAAAATGAAAAAAAAACATATTTTTATTAACACATAAGTAAAGATGCATAAAAAAATGTTAAATTCCGTTTTGAAGTTGTTTTAAAACACAAATTATTACAGTAAAATAATAATTTTTCTGCAATTTGCCCATTTTGTATGACATATCAAAATTACTTTTCTGGCTGTAAAGATTAAAATATTTTGAAGACTGCATAAAATTTAAGGCTAATTTTAACACATTTCTTATAAATATAGCAATTATAAATATGTAGATTTTACCTATATTCTTCTCATTAAGAAACCACTGCTCTAATACCATGTAGAACTATTTCCTGCTTACGAAATAACTAGCCCGTGGATCACTAATGTAAGTATTTTTTATTAAATGATATAAGTATTTGTATATTAGTATTAAATGCGCATTTATAAAACATTTTGTGTAAGATGTAAACAGTCGACTTTTTCAGACGCCAAACAGTGAAAAAGATATTGGCTTCTAATACTAATGCACATGTGCTATTAATAGTGCTTCACTCTTTTGCTATAGCACAATCATGTGAAATATGTGAACTGCAAATGCTCAGTCTTTGTCTATCATGTATAAATTTACTCATTATATTAATTATTCTTTGACTTACTTGAAAAAGGTAGCAATTAGTGTAAATATTTCGTCCAATATCGCTTAAAATAAAAATTAGTCATCTATATTTTTAGAAGTATTACCATTTCCATTGGGATTAAAAATGCATTCCAAAATTTTTTCTCTGTATTTAAGCTGTACAAATAATGTTTCAAATTAATAGAAAAATGCGTAGTATATTGGATTGTCAACCTAGTATTTTATTCCTCCTCATATTGTTCAATATTTGACTTTAATCTGACTTTGTCAAAAAAAAATAAAAATTTAAAAAAAACCCGTATTTGTTTATTTCTTTATTTTGTTTCATGTAACAGAATAATATTAAATTTTTTTTTCTATTTTTACGTTTCACAATTCCTTCAGATACCATGAAAATTTAATTCAAATAATCAATGCACGTAATCAACTGATAATCAAATTTTTCTCAGATCTCATCTTGACTTGTAGTGGCATCTTCATATAATGATAGGACTTTGTAATGTACCAGGCTAAAAGGAGACAGTGATTTCGCTTTTGCGTTATAAAACGTCGAATGAGCCAAAAATTGTATAGGAAACGCAAAAAAAAAAAAAAAAAAAAAAAAAAAAAAAAAAAAAAAAAAAAAAAANAAAAAAAAATGTTATGACCTGAGACGATTGGGAAAAAATAGCTTGCCAGCAGATTTATTATGACAAAATTGTAATCAAACTTCAAATATGTATGTGTGTGTGCAGGGCTCGAGCTAGCCCAATAGGGCCCCCCTCTGCTTCAGTAATGAAGAGCCGAACTTTACGGAGGTATTTACATTTTTCACCTCATTATTGATATATAACAAGAAAATTGACTAGAGCTTAAAATAGCTATAAAGTCCCCCCCCCTCCAGTGGTCAGACGAAGTATTGTTCTGTCCATTTTGATGATTTTCTGACTATTCTATGTTCTTCATGCTGAATGCAGTTTTCTGATTGTTAACTTGGTCATCTAGGTGCGAAAAATTCATACCCTTGCTAACATTAGGGCGGAATTAAGCTAAATTTTCGCAATTACGATGGCTCAATTAAGCTAATCAGAAGCCCATATTTTTGTAAACATATTGCATTTTGAAATATGTAGAAATTCAGTCATTTCATTGGGCAAATTTGACCATCGTAATTGCAAATATTCAGCTGAATTCCTTCCTAGAAAGCCACGGATTTACGAAATATTGAATTTTTGTGTTCATACTATAGATTAATGAAGAAGTTAACATATAACTGATGGATTTTACACTGTATTGATATTTTAAGAAAAAGTTCATTAAAGAAGGAAACGTAAAATAAACTTTCTATTCGATTAGGGGGCCCGGGGCAGCTGCCTATGCCTTAGTCAGATTCTGCATGTACCCAGGGCTAATAGGAATCCGCTTGAGCGTTATAAAACGTCGAATGAGCCAATAATAAAAATCGTGTAATAATCGCAAATAATAAGTTATGACCTGAGACGCGTGGAAAAAAATAGCTTGCCAGCAGATTTATGTTGACAAAATTGTAACCTAATTTCTAATATACTCTATACTTTTCTTCTTTAATGATGGCTGAAGGGGGAAATAAGAATAATTCTTAGAATCAAATGACATCGTTACTTATTCTTGATACAGATGTTCAATCAGTCGTAATTAAAAGTCTTGATTATTCCAATATGTTTTGAATTTCTTTGTTTCGTCAATAGATAGAATAATTTTGAATGTGCATATTAATAGATGAATAAAGAAGTAGAGAATTCATATTTTAAATTGCCATCAGTTTTTAATATAAAATTATAGGATATAGAAGTCGTACACAAAAAAATATAATGGTTTAAAATCTTTTTTGCTAATGGGTCTAATTTTTATGAAGTTTGCCGCTGTAAAGCGTCTGAAATTAAGTAGAGGCTGTAAGAACCACATGGTTTTTGCTGAAACGGTTTTTTTTAAAACAATGAATAATATATAAAGAAGATATTTTTAACAGAAGTCTTTATTTTAAAATATATTTTTAATTTACATTCTATAATAGCATTATAATATGTATATTCTTCACATAACACTATTCGGAATAATGTAATAGTAAATAAGTTTAAATAACAGATCGTAACAATAAAAGTTCATAGATATGTTTATAATAGTAGTACTTCTTTTCTGTGTAGTAGCAGTATACCCTACCTTTTATGACCTAAAATAATTGCCATAAGGTGGTAAACGGTATCAAAATCAGTTTTCATTCTATTATCAACGTGTAGGTAAACTCTTCTTTTACATTTTCCTTAAAAATATTAAATGTAGTTTTTAAATTTTTCACAATTAACAAAAAGAAAAGTGTTTTAGTAATTTTAAAACATTTTACTTTATTCAAAGATCGCATTTTGAGGGGAGATTCTAATTTTCAATTTTAAAATATTAAAATTGATTTTCACATTCTATTTTTCATTAAAAAATATTTTGTTTCATTAATTTTATTTTTAAACCTGTCGGCAAACAATTTTATAAATGGCAAATTTTTGAATTAATTTTTTTTTTTTGAATTAAAGCTTTTAAATTAAAATATGATACTCAAAGACACTTTAGCTCTAAATTATTGCATTTGGTTTTACTTGTTGTGAAAAGTTCGTACGACTAAAATTTTTTATGTGGGGTGTTATGTACTGATTGCCCTTTATATATATATATATCCTTGTAAAAATGAAGGCTCAAATTCATATTGAAGAGAGAAAAACGTTTTTTAAACTCTGAATAATCATTATTGAGGCCAAGAACAGCAAAGGAAGGATTAAAATGATCATAAACCAATTTATTTCTCTACTAGGACTGGAATTCCTCCCTTTTTGTTAGATCCGAATTTAAATTCCATCCTCAAAAAGATGATTTTAATCCATCCTTTACTTATATTGACCACTAAATATGTCAACGTTTTTCAAGCGAAATTTTAGAAAGTAATATTTTAAGTTATTCATATCTACCACATTTTATGCAAATATTTTATGAAACGTATATGCAAATCTAAAAAATTCGGATTTTTCATTTTTTCGCAACTCTTAAGTTAAACCTTTATTTAAATATTTTCAGTAGAAAATCTTAGCTGCCACTTTCTGATTTATTCCAGGTCCTACCAACGCCGGTTTTTGTTCTATCTCACTTGAATTATAATTTGTGATCCCTAATTTGCGTAGTTACTTTTAATCAATTTTAATTAAGGATACTAAAAATCCTAAAAATGTATATTAAGTGTGGTATCTACCTTTAGAAAATATGAAAACAGAGTTTACCTATACCTTAAATAAGAATACAACCGCTTTTAAATAAATGCTTTAGATATAGCAATATCTCAGTCAAAGGATAAAACATTTCTATGTTTGAACACAAATCATACAAGATCTTCAAACTTCTTACTCTCCATCAGACTTGGAGCGGCATCTGCGTCTTCAATAACATCTCCGTATTGTATGACGGAGTGGGTGAACTAAGAGTGTAGTGGTTGGTGCAGAACTCCTTGATGCGTTCGCAAGCTTCAATCATTTGTTCCTCTGGAACCGTCAACACTATTCGGAAGTAGTTCGGATAGTCGAAGCACTGAAATAATAAAAGCCATATTTTCACTAAAATCTATTGAATTAAGGTTTGATACCTCTTTGACTGAATTCATTCTGAATAAGTATTGATAACTCACACATCCGGGAAGGCAGAAGACTGATTGCTCCGACATCAGGAATTCAACGAAATCCATGTCATGCTTAAAAGCTGGGAAAGATGATTTTTGAATTCCAACCTAGCAAAATATTATTGTATACAATAAGTAAAACAACTAATTTCAACAATGTAAGAGTATGATAAAGCACGTGAATGTAAAAAAATTATATTGTTAAAGCAGGGGTCTGTTTAGAAGAAATTTGGGTCCGTCAACGGACCCTTCACAAAATATCTTTTCATTAAAACGGACCTTTCATAAAATATTTTAATTTAAAAACGGACCCTTCAGAAAATGATTTTTCTTTTAATCGGACCCTTCACAAATTTGTTTATCTTCATTATTGTTTTGTTAATTGAATAAACCCTTCCCAGAGGGGAAAATAAGAAAGATGGATGTAAACGAATAAAGTTTTGTCTTCAGCAGACGCTTCTTCCATTATTCGTCAGAAATGAATATTCTGCGTTCAGCAGTATAGGCTAAATACCAGATATTTGTATGTTGTATCCCTAATTTAGAAGCAGCAGTTGCTGTTTGGTTTTGAAAATGTAATTTTTTTAATTATAATTTTACAGGGCTGAGCATAATCTTGTATGTCTTTACAATTTAAAAACTCCTTCAAAAAGTTTTTTGCAATAACCGGACCCTATTTGCACAAATTCATAAAAGCCGGGCCCAGGTTGAAAGAATGCGACTTGACGTTTATTTTATATTTACAAATTACGAAGTAATTTTTTCACAATTTTACAAAAACCGGACCTTTTACAAAATGTCTGGACAGACCCCTGGTTAAAGACATTAAGCAATAGTTTGTCGCTGTTGGAGAGGACAAATGTTCTTTTTTTCCTCATTTCGTTTTTAAAAAGTTCTAAAAAGTAGCGTTGTTGTACTGTTTGCATTTTGTGTATGTTCTTATTCGTCATTAAAATGTGTTATCCGTAATTTTGGGTTTTTAGTATCGATTATTTAGTATCCATATATGTAAGGTGCTATTGCACTATAAAGCACTATTCTTTACATATATATTTTTAAATCGTTATTTAGAAGAAATTTATAAAAGTATATACATTAGAGGTCGTAAATTAATATTTAATTGAGGAAGAAAGTTTTTAGTATGCCCGATCCTCCCTTAAGGAAATAAGGCATGTATTTTGTTGATTAAGAAAATTACAGCGATACAGATTATAAAATATTTAAAATAATTCACCATGATTCATAATAAAACTAAACAATTAAAGATAAATATATAAATATTTTTTATATGCTATCAATATCTACCGAATCACTTGTGCGGAAGGCGAAGTGAAAGACATGAAAACTGGTTTGATTGCCTGATGAAGTTCGAAGAAATTTTCTAGTAATAGACTTTTGGCTTCTTTTTGTTTCCTACAGCCATCAAAAATATTTCAATGTTTTTAATCCTGTCTTTCTTTGTAGTGATTCGATTTACACATTGAGAAATCATTTTTGTTCCTCGCTTAAATATTAATTTACGACCTCTATTGCGTATACCTTTTTTACTTAATTTTGTACAAAGATTCTGAAAATATACATTAAGGGCAGCCCTAACGAAACACCTTAAATAAAGAACGCAAAGTCTAATCTTATAGAAATAAAAATTTGCATGAATGGAGTCATTCGGATCAAATGTCTAAAAATCAATAGTTTGAAGCGATTTGAAATTAATATTATTACCAAGCTTTAGCTTTTCTCTTTTAAACCCGCCCCTAAAGTTTCTACTTTTTGGATAAAGCTATATTTTGTATTTTCACAAAAACCATGAAATGATTCTAAATTGGCAAGAAGCCGTAATTTTCAAAAAATCTTTGACCTAAATATAGTATAAATAGCTATTTTCTTTGTTAGAGCTATTGTCTCTGGTTGTGATTTTTTGAACTATTTTTTGTAAAAAACTTGAATGCCATGCCATGACTTTTGTTGTATTGTTTCATAGTTTAAAAATTTTCAAATATATACATTATTATATACGTGAGTATAACACACAGAGTTCCTGAAATATTTTATGAGTATAATCGAACTCACAAAAAATAAATAAATAAAAAGGAGTTTTTCAGAAGTTGAATAAAATATTTAAATCTAGTATTCTTCATTTATCACCGTTTTGCTCATAATTGTAGAAAATATCACAAAAAACTAGTTTAGTTATTAGATAATCATTTCTGAAGTTATTTATGCTAAATTCATAATTAAATCATAAATATAATAATATTTATGTATGTAATTTAATATATATGCAATTTAATATATATGCAATTTAATATATATGTAAATTAATGTATATAATGTAGTACCATCATGTACATAGCTCCAGCTGGCATAACAGGCTTTAGTCCTGGTACTTCTGCGATAATAGAATAGGCCAGAACTGCATTTCTCTAGAAATAAATTTTAAAATTAAATTACACAAAAATGTAAAAACAAATTTTAAAAAAATCTGAGTTTATCTAAATTTTACTGACGCACTATTTGGAGTTGAATTTTTTGATTGATTTAAGCTATATTTTCCGTCCTAATGTGACAAGTGTGAAATTCTTTATATTACAACAATTCTTCCTTGTTAGTTCTTATAAGAAAATTAAGCTTTTTAATTCGGATGAGCAAACCAACCAAGTTGATTCTTATAAGCAAACTAAAGTATTAACTTATCTTATTAATTCTAAAAAACAAACTAACATTTTAACTAACCTTGCTAGTTTTGGTAAGAAAACTAATTTAACTAGCCTTTTGTTAGTTTTTGTGTGCAAAACTTGTTAGTTGTAAGCAAACTAACAAGTATCTGCGATGAACATCATCCATGACCGTTTTTTCTTTGGAGTGCTCATGACCGTTTTTTCTGCTGAACATGACTTGGATTTTACATTTTTTTCAGATAATTCCTTGTACCAGACAAAAATACGGGCTATTTCTTTACCACATCTTAACAGACTTACTTAAAATGTCTAAAAAAAATTGCCGAAAATTTAATTATTGGTTTACTCTATACGGAGATTTGATTTTTCTCATAATAAAAGAATCGAAAGAAATTAAGATTCTTTCTACACCATTCCTAGTCGTCCAGAAAGACTAAAATTTGTGAAAGGTACAAAAAAGTACTTCCACGTAAAAGGCACAAAAAGAAGTCTGTCTAGTTTACATTTAATGCACTTTCTAAGCCCATTTTTTCAAATTATTCCTCCTTTTTGTCTTCAAAGCATTTAAAAATATGTTTTATATTTTAATTTATGAAATTTTATGACAAGTATTAGTTTAAAAAATTATAATTGTTACTTTAATTCCTTTTCTAAATTCATGCATAAAAATTGGTTCTTATCTGTTCCGGGAGATCTTAAACAAATTGTACAGATTATTTCAATAATATTTAAAAAAAAAAAAAAACATAATTTTTATTTTAATTCTCAGTTTAAAGAAATATTCATGCATAAAAATTGGTACTTATCCGTTTCGAAGGACAGAAAAATACTCATTACCCCAGTACCTGCATACCTATATTAATATATTAGGTAACTTTATTAGCATATTAGCTACCTATATTAGTATTTTAAGTGCCTATTACCTATAGCGCCAATAGTACTTATTACCACAATTAATTAAATGTCACCAGCTTCAATAACAGTATGGTAATTTTTTTGTGCGACCCCCAGTAACGTAAATTGCATGAAAATTTTATGAAAAAAATACTGTCTTACAAAAATAAAGAAATACTAGGAGGCTTCGCCCCCTGCTCGCTATCGCTCGCCATCCCCCGGAACTGCTTTCGCCGTTCATTTCGGATTGCTTCGCAATCCGATGCTCGCTTTGCTCGCTCATTGGATACGTTCTTAACGTCTAGCTTTTGTATACTTTTTAGAACACTGAAGTTCCGAAAACTTTTCACTGTAGAAAATTCTAAACCTGTACATTTCAATATTAATTTGAAATTGCAAACAGTTCACATATTTTTCTTAATCACACTATTCTAAATTTCAGTTGTTGAGAAAAGTAACTGTTGTAAGTTTTGTTTTAAAGTCTT